CGGCGCAAGTGTGCAAGCCTGCACTGGGTGGTTTTGGGGTATCTATGTGTGCTTTTCGGCTTTTGGCTCTTTGGGGGTGTGGCCTCTTCCTGCGCAATAGAGACTACGGCAAGGAGCAGTCAGGACTCCCCGGTTCCTCCTCCCCTTCTTTCCCCAATGTGTCCATCTCCAGTCTCTCCTCAAGGCTCTCCCAGCCAGTCTGCACTCAGCCCCCCAGCTCAGATACGCAAGCTGTGTGCAGAGCGCACAAAAGACAGGTTAATTGATTCCCTTATGCCTGAGCGAGATGGTAGCTGCAGAGTGGGAGGTGCGTTATCACCCGGGCTCCACCGGCCGCCGTGTCAGTTCTGTTCACAAAGTTTTCCTCACCAGTCTTTTCCCAGGCACCAGCCCACCCTGCTGCTGCCTCTACCCAGAGATCAAGGAGGGTGGCTGCCACTGCAACTTTTGCGTTGGCCCTTTAAATGTCTCTTTGCATCCCCAGCCACCTGTCTCTGGCAGAGAGCGCCCCTAAGCTTTTCGGGGTTGCGTTTTGTCTATATTTTCTTGGTTTTAGCTGCTGTAGTTTAAGGGTCCCTCTTTTTGATTCAGACCCCATTCTTCTCAGGGGAAGCTAACTGGCCGTTTCAATGTCCCTCTGGCGCTAGTGCCCGTGAGCACCCAGCCCACCCTCTCGAGCCTCCACCACACATCTCACCCATTGGGATGTGTGAGAGTTGAATCCACTGTCCTTGGCTCCAAGGCTCCTCTCCCACTATCGCTCCACTGCTTTCCAGGTGATTACTCCACTATTTAGTCCTTATTGGCTACATTCTAAGATCAAAAGCTGAGGGACAAAAAGTTGAAGGACTCTTCTCAGATAGCACAGTTAGCCATAGGCAAACCTAGGATGCAAATACCCGTTCAGCGCGCTTTCTGTCTTATTATTTCTGCTTCTATCTTTGTATATTATAGATGCTATTACAGTAATAAGATTTTCCAATAGAATGAAACTTCTGGCAACTACCAATAAACTGTATTAGAGAAAGCAAAGAGGACTGCAAAGGTCATTTGCAAATTCTGGGTCTCTACCAGGCTTTTGAGCACTTGCAGCCTAAGGTCAAGGTGCTGTGACTGAAGTTTCTGGGGAGGCAAAAATATACATATATGAATATAATCTGGAAGGGAGAAAACTCCAGACTCCTTTCTGAAAGAAACAAGGAACATATTAATTTAGGACTGAGGATGAATAGAGATGTGTAAGAAGTAAATATTTGGCTGACAGTGGAAGACTGACTCAGAAATGAGGAGAGCCCCTAAATTCCTGGGGTACACACATGTTCTTAGATAATACGTATCAGGTGAGCAAGTTCACTGCCTGCTAAAAATTTCACAGCCCAAGGTCCCTCTGAACGTATTTACAGCTGCTCTGTCACTGAGGCGCCAACATTTGATCTGTTCTTTCCAAAATAGGCTTTAAAAAATTCAAAAGGAAAAAGGGCAAGAGCCCTGTAAACAATGTCTTCTGCAGCTCCTGTGAACATTGCACCTACAGCGAATATCAGACAGTTGGTGGCAAAGGCTGAACAGACTTTCAGCCTGACAAGAGAAAAGTCTCCGAGGTGGTGGTTGCAGAAAACAAGAGCAACTTCTCCTTTCTGCTACTTGGTTATCATGACCTGAAGAGGAGAAACCACAGCTGACCCACCTGTTTGAAGGGAAGACAGCGTAGTGAGCACATTTCCTCATTGGATATTTAATGTTTACGCTGCACTATGCTCTGGGAAGGCATGCGGCCAAAGAAACAAGTGGGGCACCTGGAGTCCTAATTGTTTGAGGCCCCCAACTGCTTTTCAACTCCTTTCTAGGAGAAAGAAGTTCTGTCTGTGGGAGACTAGTCTATGGGAAGTAGAGGTTCTAAGAAAGAAGGTCCGAAGTCTTAATTAATGGTTGATAATACCCAAATTGGAGTCACCACAGAAAAGACTGCCACAGTCTCTCATCCAAGGTTCAGAAATCCAAAAGCTCTGAAAATAAAAATTTCTTTTCTGTAATTCATTTGACAAGCAAAACCTGACCTGACTTCTCCTTGTGATAAACCCGGATCTGAGTTTACGGGACGGAGTTGCATACAGGGTACTGCCCCAAGTTCCTAGGGGATTATGAAATTTTTAGTGGATGCACCATAGTATCTTTCCAGAATTTGAAAACAAAAATTATGAATTCCAAGAATTCATGGCTCCAAGTATTTTGGCTATGGACTGTGGACCTCTTTTCTACATCCTCAGGTATTTTTTTCTTTCTTCCTTTTGTTCAAAATGTTGGTTAATCCATCTCTTAGGCAGTATAATTCAACTAATCCACAATATCTTAATAAGCAGGTATATGTTCACAGAAAACCCAAAACTTGCCAGACCAGGTTGCAGGTCAACCACCAAATTTTTGAAGAACCAAACTGCAGGCTGAGCTTTGCACACCAAGAAAACAGCACCACAGGCAGGGAGCTGAGAGAATTCAGTGTATGGAGAGCTCCTAGGACAGCCTTACAGGGAAATCACCGCAAGAGCTTTAGAAATACTGCCTTTTTTTTTTTACTTTAAAATATGAATAAATTTTTTAAATGTTTTTATTGTTCAGTACTGCCTTAAAACTGATCCTCTTCACTGATAGCTAATAACCTTACCTCTGTCAACTACTGTATTTAAAATTTTAATTTATCAGTCTGACACATTAAAACGTTAATTTAAATCCTGGTGAGCTTTAGAAATTCAACATCATGGGCACCTGCACAATCCTAAATTCTCAGAATTTTGTCAGTGAAAAGCAAACAGAAAACATGATAATACATACTACTCATTCTATTTTTTATTTCTCTCTTGGTGGAATTATTTTATTTCAAACACACTGTAAAAGAGTGGGCACCTGACAATCACTTCTTCTGAATGAGTCAGTGGATAAACTCAGACATCTGCTTAGAAAAGGCACTTATTGAGAGCTGCTCAAACCCACAGATAGGGGGCGTCTGGATCACAAAATGCTCTGCTGTTTTTTAGGGATCCGATAGTTAAATATTTTCATGTCCTACATGCCCGGCTAGTTTGTTCTGAATTTAACACTCTTCAGTAGAATACAGATATGCATACTCAAATAAAGAAATAAAACTTCTAAGCTGTGCTCTAAATGTTGTATCTAGTCTCCCATGTGTATTTAGGAAGCAGAGTAAAGGGTCATCTGCTTGTAATTTTAGAAATCTAGAGTAGGTCAGGAATAATGTCTGCTCAAGACCACTACTGTTCAAATGAATGTTTTCAGCCTAGAGTTTCAGAGTTTTGTCACTTCTGCCAGAATGTCTGACTTCTAAATCTTGTGTGCTTATGAGTTTTGGGTAAAAATACACCAAAAAAACATATACACACAAGCACACACCAGAGAGAGAGATTTAAAATGAAAATAAAATAGAAAAACAGTAGCTACTTCTTGACACACCAAAACTGAAAAGACATAACTGCCTACATTTATGAAAGAAGCAAATAGCAAGGAGGGAAATGAGTTATTTAGGGTATGATATCCAGAAATTACAACTAAGATTCACAGGAAGGAAAAATTTGTGCTGTGTGACAGAGGTAGCTTGTGGCCAAAACCTCTTTCTCCCTTCTCCCTGATTTGGGGGGAGATGCAGTGGACCCAAAGGATGTTATTTGCCAAACTCCCTTGCAGCTAGGTTTGGTATGTGATTAAATTCTGGTCACTGACATACAGGCAGAGAGACAGAGTGTTGAGTGGGATATGGAACTCTGGGTGGGTGGGATTGAAAGGGAGGAGGGGGTGAAGACAGAGGGGGGAGGCATCCCTAAAGTGGCTGGCTCAGTTCAGGAGCAAGATTTTTAATGCCTTCTCCCTTCTGGAACAAAGAGTTCTAGCAGCCAACCTGACCATGGGTAAAAATGGAACCCACCACTAGGATATGAAGCAAAAAGAGAAGAGCTGAGTCCCTAACAAGTTGGTGGGATTGTCCTATTTACTTTGGACTGGCTATCTCTGGAATTCTTTTACTTGAAAGAATCAATGTGATTTTATTGTTGTTCGTTTTTTGTTTTGGTGGTAATATTCAGCGCTATCATAAATCTAACTGATTGAGACTGGCAGAAGGAAAAAAATAAATCAATCACAGGACCCATGACTCAGGCCCTTGCTACTCAAAGTGTGGTCCCTGGAAGAGCCGCCTGGACCTCACTTGGGGCTTGCTAGTAACCCAGAGGCTCAGGCCCCTCCCAGACCTACTGATTCCAAATCCACATTGTAACAAGGTCCCAGGTGATTTGTATGCCCCGTTTGAGAAGTTTGAGTAGCGCTGACAGAGGAAATGCCCTTTGGAAAACCGGACTAAATATTATGAAGTTCAATAACCTGCTAGGCAGTGTTCTTATTACTTAGATTTATATCCTGAAAAAAAAAAAGACACCTAGAAATATGACCTGATTTTGAGATCAGACATCAAACATACTATTTTCAAATGACAACTTTCTCAATAGGTTCAAAATGCACTAAAGAAAAACAAACATAAGTTTATAAAAAGTAAAACAAACAAACATAAAAACCTAAACTTGGACATTTTAAAGATACAATTCATAATTAAGTAGGGTCCTTTATACATAATGATAAAGCTGCTAAAATCTAAAACCAATAAACCTTTTAGTATTTATTACACTAAAATTTTTTTATTCTCATTTAACTAACCACTAACTCTCTGACAAGTTTGGTTACATTCCCAACTACTCAACTGAAATTTTGTTTATCTGGGCGGCATTTAAAAGTGAAAATAACACTTCCAAGGTATACTTTCAGTCTGGGAAACTTCTCCTCCACTCCCCAAAAGGACTCCCCGTCAGTAACTGCAATTCTTTAAATGCACAAGAAGTTTTTAATCAATTAATTTTAGTTAATTTTCTATATTATTTAGTTATTTAATTATTTAGTTATTTAGTTATTAAATAGTTATTTAGTTATTAAAAATTAAATTATTTAATTATTTAGTTAATAATTTTTCTACAGCAGTGTTTTAGATATAATTTACATACAATAAAATGCCCAGATCTCCATTGCACTAACAGATTAGTTTGACAATGATATTCACCCATGTAACCACCTTTAAGATATAGGAGATACCATCACCCCCAGAAAGTTCCCTCGAGCTGCTCTGCAGTCATTCCCCATTTCCACTTGCCACACAGAGGCAGCCACTTCTTTGGTGGGATCTTATTCATATGTGGCCAGAAAATGGAGCCAAAATGATTTTACAATTGAAAGCTGATAAAATAGCACTAGGAAGCCTAAAGCTTCATGTTGCCTGCATGTGCCCTTAGCGTGTTTTAATACTCTATCAAAAGCTTATCTACTGTGTGATAGAAAGGCATGCAAAAGACTTTGAGCTTTGTTCATTTAGCAGTGCAAGTATTGATACAATTTGCTAAAACATTGGCTATACTTGACTGGATTCTTCATTTATTTTCTTTAAGTATGTTTAAATAGGTTTTAAATAGGTTTTCTTCTTATGTGAGACACTAATTTCAAGTAGTACCTCCTGCCCTCCCATTTCTGATACCAAAGAGAGTTAAAACGTAGAGCGATTTGCAGTTGGTAATACAGTTTACTTTAAAAAAACAAAACAGCTTTTGAGTATGCCAGGTTATTATGCCAGGAGTTAATAAGTTAACATTGTTCCTTTTGTTCTAATCCAATCTATTTAATTAAATATTAGTGCACAGAGAGGGACCTGTGAGCACTCTCCTCCTTAGAATTAATTTACTGAATCAGTTTTCAGTAGTTCACTTTTTCCAGTTTCAGGAGGTAGTCAATGATCGTTTACACAGTCCTTACAATAAAATTATGAGAAAGGCACTTTCAGGTGTTGGTATACTGAAAATGTAAGGTACCACTAATATTAACACTTTTACTTACAAACCTAAGCAACCGATGTGTACTATCAAAACAAAATGCATGAGGCCATGCACAGTGCAGTGCCCAGTTACGCTTGACTAACACATCCATATCCTAGACAGTCAATTTGGATCTAATTACAATCAATGGTGCACCAGCGTCAGAGGGTCAGAGTTCTGTTTTCGGGTGCGTTGCTGCATACTTGGGTGCCAGTTCTTTGATCAGATTCACGTAGTCGGCTTTTTCCGCGCAGGCCCTGCACTCTTCTCCCCAGCTGTACAGTATTTGTTTCAGCTCTGCCACTCTCATCTTCCACAGGTCCACTGATGCTAAGTCTAATCTCTTCTCTAAATGACAAAAGGGCAACATACAACTTTTTAAAAACAGCTCTGAGATATTTAGAAAGGCAAATGGTATTACTTATCTTGATGCTGAGAACAGTTCCATTTTCTATGGAAACCAACACATGCCTAAGGAACATAGTTATGTTCCGTATATATACACACAAAGCTATTCGGATAAGTTTTGTTCTATCAGGCTTTCTCTATATGGAATTATATGTGGTTCAAACAAGGGCTTCAAAACTTTGTAACTTTGCAGTATCTGCCACCATGCCTCCACAAGATCAGCATTAGCGTGGCATTCTAGTTGCTGCTCCTAAGGCAAAAAGAAGGTAATCAATAAAAAGGAATGCCTTGGGACAGCTTTGTGTGTGGCCAACTGAAATCCATAGATCATAATTAACTAGAAAGTTATGGCTCACTTTTTATATACAAAGATATGTCTTCAGTAAAACAGCTAAGCATATGTATTACAAAGCAATATTGAGTCTTTAAATATAAATTTAAAGATACCCAAACATGGAATATAATTAGGAGCATTTTTATTGATCCTTGTTGGTTTTTGATCTCTGCTTAACCTCATCTGATCCCCACCCCTACTGGGATTACTAATTTATCACAGCATTCACTTACAGTCCTTTGGGGTATACCCACTTCTCTAACGCTTGCATTTCAGTGCCAGTCAATCTGGCTTCTAACATTCTTGCCAATAATACTTGTCACCAACATCTAACTCCTTTAGCAAGACAACTGTTTTCCCATTTACAAATTATCTGCAAAGAATGTCAAGAGCTCCACTACTTCTCTATTGTCAAGACCAAAAACAAAAAATAAGCTCATCTATGCAATACTTATTACTATAATTTCCCTATCAAAAGGGGTAATTTTCCTTAAATTTATACAATGTTTTAAGTCAATTTATCTCAATAAATCTAGAAAAATTAATACAAGTTGAATTTTAAAGCCTTGTTTATTTGAAGGGTCAGCTACCCTTAAATTTTTATAGTGATACTTATCCTTTTAAGATACAGAACAAGCAAAAATAATTCTTTTAGGTCAAAAGCCAAAAGACAACTTCCAATTGAAAACATAATCCAACTCTACACTTATTTTGATTTTTAATTTCATGGCTGACTTAACAGAATACCTTTAAAAGTAAGAAGCATTTATAGCCCAAATTATTAATATCCCACAGTTCAAAGGCCCTTGTCCAATCTCAACTTTCTTGCCAATAATAAGCATGGAACAAGACATTAGGACTACTGGTCTATTCAAAATAAATGGTTGGATGAGAAATATACTTCATTGCAAATGTCAGTAGTTTCTTTGAGCTTTTCTAAAGAACTTGCAATCTGGCATTAAGTTTAAAAAGGGGAAACTTCTGTGATCCTCTAAAACTACAAGGAAAAGGTTAATACCAAAATTAAAACTAGCTCATGGCTCCCCAAGGGCCTCTAGTGGCCAGCATTGCCTAACCACTAGTAAGTATTTATTCCTCAATAATATCTGATTAACTTTTCTATTATCAGGGAACCCAATAAGTTCTCTTGCACATAATAGAAGATATTCTAAATAACTTTGTTGAATTAAAGAATCAGGGGAGGTTTGTTCCTTTCAAGAATATTGTTTATATGGACTCAGTGATTCCTGCCTTTCCTTCATTACTTGGAAGCTAATAAAAAGGGATGTCTGTCCTCTAATCACTACCCTGGAAGTTAGGGCCTGCCCTTGGCAAAGTGAGAAGTAGGTTGTTCTGGGTGTCTTCCAACCTTAAACCTGTTTAAAGCCAGTTATGTAGCTATGGTGCATAGGCATATTACACAGCTATGTTAGAAAATAAGACTATAATAATTCAGAGCTGAGTGCTAATTAGGTAGTTCACAATACTACCCTGGATTTGGGTACGTAACACAACACAATTACTTGAGCAAAGGAAACGGGTCTCTATTGGTAGAATTTCAGGTGTTAAGGATAAGCTAAGACAAGAATCCCCCAAGCCTTTATGATACCTACGCAACCTACCCAAAAAGGCTAGCCCAGATAGAAACACTCAGGACAAAAACAATAGACTTATCTACATGAAATGTAGAAGGACAAGGATAGTGATTTAAATAGGACATCTTTCTTTCCAGGCTGTTTATTTTAGGTGCCCTAATAAGGCTATTTCATCAGGCAAAACCTGATTCACTATGAATAACCTATTTCCTAAAATTTAAAGCTGGCAGGCAGAATAACAGACAGATAAACTTAGGAAAAAAGATACAGACACATATAAAACTTCAAAGTCTGTATATCACCTTTGAATAGATACAACTTTTTTTAATGGGTTACCAACAGCTAACTCATCATGAGTAGTTGTTCCCTTGATAAGTTTCAATTTTTCCTTGACATACACAGTCAACAGTGCCTTGGTGATTTAAGAGTTTAAACTTTCCAAGGGGTTGACAGTTTTACCTAAAGCTGATTGTTCCAGTATTCATTTCTCTCACCCCCCCAAAAAGATCAGGTGGCATTAAGCACCATTCAGCAGCCCAACAACCTAATGGCAAATGAATAATTCCTTTCCTTCTATCACTGACTTTTTAGAAACATAGTCTATTTTGAGAATTGGCAATACTTCAGACACTATGGGGAAAAAAAACATTTGACTCCATTATACCGTATTTCAGCTCACAGATTTGGCTGTCCATCTTCCTGAGCTTCTCGCAAATCTTCATCGCAGGCATGTGCACACTCATTGGGCGAGTGACCTCACTTAGGATCTTTGTGGCTGCATCTTTGGTTGCTCCTAGATAATAGCACTGAAGAAGAATGAAGAGGATTTAGGGGCCCAGACGCTGAGAAAAGCAAGTGATATGGTTTTGAGAAGAAAGCAGTTAACCTAGTTCAGTTAACCTAGTTTTCATGGACCAGCTATTAAATTTTAAGCCCTGCTAAGATACCAGAAAACAAATGACTCCATTCCTATGATCATCCTAATTAGAAGGTCCCGACAGTTCACATGATGTCCCAAGGCTTGCTGAGTGTTCCCTGTGCCACCTGCTGCTCTCAGGGCTTTACAGGTATTGACTTATTTAGTTCTCACAGCAACCCTGTGAAGTAAGTACTATTACATACCCATTTTTACCCAAATCAACTGAAGGGTCACCAGCTAGCAAAGAGAGGAGATAGAATTTTATTTATTTTATTTTATTTTTTAAACTTTATTTTTATTGTTGACACTATTACAGATTTCCCCAGTATACTTTGCTCACCTCCACGTAACTCCCGCCCCACTTTCCCTCTTGCTGTCAACACACTTGTCTATGTGTTATGTACAATATATATTTTTTTGGCTAATCCCTTCCCCTTCTTTCATTTAACCCCCTCACCCCCCTCCCCTCTGACAGCTGTCAGTCTGTTCCATGTATTCATGCCTCTGTTCAATTTTGTACATCAGTTTATTTTGTTCATTAGATTCTACATATAAGTGAGATGACATGGTATCTGTCTTTCTCTGACTAGCTTATTTCACTTAGCATAATAATCTCCAGGTCCATCCATGCTGTCGCAAAAGGTAAGATTTCCTTCTTCTTTTACAGTCACATTATATTCCATTGTGTAAATGTACCACAGTTTTTTATCCACCCATCTACTGATGGGCACTTGGGCTGGTTCCAAATCTTGGCTATTGTAAATAAGGCTGAAAAGAACATAAGGATGAATATATTATTTTGAATTAGTGTTTCAGCATTCTTAGGATATATACCCAAAAGTGGGATCACTTTGTCAAAAAGCAGTTCCATCCCTGACCAGTATAGCTCAGTTGGTTGGGTGTTGCCCTGAAAAGGAAAAGGTCACCGGTTCAATTCCAGGTCAGGGCACATACCTGGGTTGTGGGTTTGGTCCCTGGTCTGGACATGTATGAGAAGCAGCCAATGGATGTTTCTCTCATACATCAATGTTTCTCTCCTTTCCTTCCTCCCTGCCTTCCCCCTCTCTAAAAATTCATACATAAATAAATAATTTTTTATTGTTGTTCAATTACAGTTGTCTAAATTTTCCCCCATCACTCTCCGCTGCCCCATCCATCCCCCTGTGCTCCTGCAGTCAATCCCCACCCCACTGCCATTGCTCTTGGGTCCTTTATACATGTTCCTTGACTTGACCCTTCCCCTTCTTTCCTCCATTACCCCTTCCCCCCTCCCCTCTGTCCACTGTCAATTCATTCTTTATTTTCATGTCTCTGGTTCTATTTTGCTCCTTTGTTTGTTTTGTTGACTAGTCCACTTGTAGGTGAGATCACATGATATTTTCTTTCACTGCCTGGCTTATTTAACTTAGCATAATGCTCTCCAGTTCCATCCATGCTGTCACATAAGGTAGGAGTTCTTTCTTTCTTTCTGCTATGTAGTATTCCATTGTATAAATGTACCACAGTTTTTTGATCCACTTGTTTATTGATGGGCACTAAGGCTGTTTCTAGCACTTGGCTATTGTAAATAATGCTGCTATGAACATTGGGATGCATAGATTTTTTTGAATTGGTGTTTCAGGATTATTAGGGCATAATGCCAGCAGTGGAATCACTGGATCAAATGGCAGTTCCATTTTTAGTTTTTTGAGGAAATTCCTTACTGTTTTCCACAGTGGCTGCACCAATCTGCATTCCCCCCAACAGTGCACTAGGGTTCCCTTTTCTCCACATCCTCTCCAGCACCTGTTGTTTGTTGATCTGTTTACGATGGCCACTCTGACCCTTGTGAAGTGGTATCTCATTGTGGTTTTAATTTGCATCTCTCTGATGGCTAGTGATGTTGAGCATCCTTTCATGTATCTATAGACCCTCTATATCTCGTCCTTGGAGAAGTGTCTGTTCAGGTCCTTGGCCCATTCTTCAGTTGGATTGTTTGTCCTCTTGGAGTGGAGTTGTGTGAGTTCTTTATATATTTTGGAGATCAAACCCTTGTCCAAGCTATCATTGATAAATATGTTTTCCCATATGGTTTGTTCCCTTTTTATTTTGCTAATGTTTTATTTAGCTGTGCAGAAGCTTTTTAATTTGGTGTAGTACCATTTGTTTATTCTTTCCCTTATATCCCTTGCCCTAGGGGACATATCTGTGAAAATATTGCTGCATGGGATATCTGAAATTTTCCTGTCTGTGTTCTCCTCTAGGGCCTTTATGGTATCACAATTTACATTTAAGTCTTCTATCCATCTTGAGTTTATTTTGGTATATGATATAAGTTGGTGGTCTAGTTTCATTTTTTCACATGTACCTGTCCAGAACCCATTTATAATTTTTTGAGGATACTTCATACACCTTTCCATAGTGTCTACACCAATGTGCATTTCCACCAACAGGGCACAAAGTTTCCCTTTTCTCCACATCCTTGCTAGCACTTGTTCATTGATTTACTGATGATAGCCATTCTGGCAGGTGTGAGATAATATCTCCTTGTGGTTTTAATTTGCATTTCTCTGATGATTAGTGTTGTTGAGAATTTTTCCAGATGTCCATTGGCCATGTGTGTGTCCTCTTCAGAGAAGTCTCTATTAAGGTCTTTTTCTGGTTTCGGAATTAGGATAATGCTGGACTTGTAATAAGAGCTTGGAAGTCTTCCCTCTTCTTGAATTTTCTGGAATAGTTTGAGAAGGATAGGTCTTAGTCATTCTTTGAATGTTTGGTAAAATTCACCTATGAAGCAACCCAGTCCAGGAATTTTGTTTGCTGGGAGTTTTTAGATTTCTGTTTCAATTTCATTAGTTGTAATCTGTCTATTCAGCTTTCCTGATTCTTCCTGATTCAGTTTTGGAAGATTGTGTGTTTCCAGAAATTTATCCATTTCTTTCAGATTGTCCAATTTGTTGGCATATAGCTGTTCATAGTATTTTCTTACAATTCTTTGTGTTTCTGTGGTGTCAATTGCTACTTCTCATCTTTCATTTCTTAACTTATTCATTTGGGTCCCCTCTTGTGGAGGACGGTGAAGGCTGACGTCAAAAGCCAGGTTAAGCGCTTGGCAAAGCCATGGTCGACCACTTGTTATCTGCAAAGCAGAGCAAGCTGGCAATTGGCAACAACCCAAGCCCAGGGGGGTTGAGAAGGGAGTAGATAACTGCAAGCTACTGCTGAAGATGACTGCAACCTTTGCAGAAGAAAATTTTATCACGTAGATAGTCTGGGAACGGAACAATCCATGCCTACAGCATTCCCCTAAGTTTGCAAAATTACCTTGAGCTTTATCTAACCAACCCCTATAAAATAAACATGGAGACTATGGTCATTGTCATTGTCTTTCCATCAGAGGACAATGTCCCACCTGGCCCCCACTTTTCTCTAAATTGTCTTGTGTTGTGTCTTTGTGTTGTGTTGTCTTTTCTCAATCTCCCATCACTCCCACTCAGGGACCACCACTCCGCATAGATCACGGCACCTTCTCTTTTTTTCCTTGATGAATCTGATTAAAGCTTTATCAATCTTGTTTTTCTTTTTTTCAAAAAACCAGCTCTTGGTTTCATTGATCTTTTGTGTTTTTTTTAGTCTCTATGTCATTTATTTCCATTCTGATCTTGATTATTTTCTTCCTTCTACTTACTCTGTAGTTGTTGTTGTTCTTTTTCTAGTTCCTTTAGGTGTAGGGTTTTTGTTTGTTTGTTTGTTTTGAGATTTTTCTTGCTTCTTGAGTTAGGCCTGTAATACTATGTTCACTCTCAGGACTGCTTTTGTTATGCCCCATAGATTTTGTGTTGTGTGTTCAATTTCATTTGTCTCCAGGTAATTTTTTATTTTTCCCTTGATCTCATTGTTAACCCTCCCATTGTTTAATAACATGTTATTTAGCCTCTATATGTTTGAATGTTCTTTACTTTTTTTATTATAGTTGATTCCTAGTTTTCAAATCATTGTGATCTGAGAAGATGCTTGATATGATTTCAATCTTCTTGAATTTGTTAAGAATTATTTTGTGTCCTAACACATGGTCTATTTTTAAGACTGTTTCATGTGCACTTGAAAAGAATGTATATTCTGCTGCCTCTGGATGAAATGTTCTGTAAATATCAATTAAATCCATCTGATCCAGTGTGCCATTTAAGGTTGCTCTCTCCTTGTTGATTTTTTTTTTTTTTTGGTCTAGGACATCTATCCGTTGGTGATGGAGGGGTGTTAATATCCCCTAGAATGATTTATTGCTGTCAATCTCTTGCTTAAAGTCCTCCAAGAGTTTCTTTATGAAATGTTTAGGTGCTCCTATATTGGCTGCATATATATTTACAAGGATTATATCCTGTTGTTGGACTGATTCCTTTAGTATTATATAGTGACTTTTGTTGTCTCTTGTTATGGCCTTTCTTTTGAAGTCTATTTTGTCAGATATAAGTATTGCTACTGCAGCTTTTTTGTGTGTGTTTACATTTGCATGGAATATTTTTTCCATCTCTTCTCTTTCAGTCTATGTGCATCTTTTTTTCTGAGGTGGGTCTCTTGTAGACAGCATATATATGGGTCATGTTTTCCTATCCATTCAGCTAGCCTGTCTTTTGATTGGAGCATTTAATCTGTTTACATTTTAGGTTATTATTGATAGGTACTTATTTATTGCCATTTTTTATTTATACCTGTTCCTCTCACTATTTCTTCTTCTTTTTAAAGCAGGCCCTTTAACATTTCTTGCAATACTGGTTTGGTGGTGATAAACTCTGTTAGCCTTTTTTGGGGAGGGTATGGGAAGCTCTTTATTTCACCTTCAATTTTAAATGATAATCTTGCTGGATTAAGTAGTCTTGGTTGCAGGTCCTTGCTTTTCATCACTTGAATACTTCATGTCAATCCTTTCTGGCCTGAAGTGTTTCTTTTGAGAAATCAGCTGACAGCCTATGGAAACTCTCTTTTAGGTAATTGCCTCTCTCTTACTGCATTTAAGATTCTCTTTTTGTCTTTAAGTTTTGTTATTTTAACTATAATGTGTCTTGGTGTGGGTCTCTTTAAATTCATCTTGATTCGATCTCTCTGTGCTTTTTGAACTTGTGATACTTTTTCCTTCACCAGTTTAGGGAAGTTTTTAGTCCTTATTTCTTCAGCTATGTTCTTGGTCCCTTGTTCTCTCTTTTCTTCTGGTACCCCTACTATGCAGATATTGTTACACTTGCTATTGTCCCAGAGGTCCCTTGGACTTTCCTCATTTTTAAAAATTCTTTTTCTTTTTTTTGATGTTCTGCTTGGGTGCTTACTATTAGTTTGTCCTCTAAATTGCTGATTCAATCCTCTGCTTCAGCTAACCCACTGTTTATTTCTTCTTGTGTATTCTCTAATTTCAGATATTGTATTCTTCATTTCTGAGTGGTTCTTGTTTGTGGTTTCTATGCCCTTTTTAATGTTTATTATCTTAATCATTTTACATTTTAAAATATAGACCTTAATGGTACAGATAAATGCTGAGAATTTTATAGTGTGCCAGTGGTGAGCTGTCTACAATGCAAACTTACCTGAAAAGTTTAACATGACAATTTTAGGCAAAATGAATTGGCCTAAGATTGGTTATAGTGATGTAAACCAGTATATTGAAAAAGTCTTTTGTGTATACCCAGTAAACACTACATAAACACCATTACAAGAAAATATAAATACTTCATTGGTTATATATAAATAATGACATAAAATATTTTGAAAGGTTTAACTAATTGTCTTGGTAAGAAAATAGAAAGCCTACCCATTCTTAACTCAGAACAATAAACTCTCAATTAGACATTCAACTTTGTAATTTTATTTAAGAAAATATGAGCTTGATTGTCTGTGGTTTATTCCAAAAGCAAAATGAAAACAGATGTTTTCATACGACTGCATTAAAATTCATATGACTGCATTTCACTGAATGAAAATTTTCTGCTTGCTCTCTACAGTGAACATGCCTGAGGCCAGCATCTAAGCAGGAGAATAGTAAGTCCAAGATAAGAAATTATAGTATTAGCGGTTTCCCTCAAGCACAAGGGAAAAATGAAATGTGAAAGTTTACCATACCAGACGGTTTTCTTTTCCTTTGACGCCCAAGCAAAAGCTGATTAATTCTTTTTCTATGGTGTCCAAAGAAAAGTTAATTCCTCTGGCTATCAATGAGTTGTAGAACCGGTTCAAAAATTCTTCACAAACTAGAAGGAACAAAGAAAATATGCATTTATTCACCAAGATAACCACTGCCACACCTACGTATATGTCCTGTTCATCCAATAAAAAAATGTAACTATGATTTAACACATTGTGACAATGAATTAAAAATATTAGGAAGGGTGACATAGGACCTATAGCTCAAGATTGGGCTTTGAATAGCATGGTTTATAGAATCAATCAATCAGTCTCTGGAATCAAGTTCCACATGAATCAAGAACATTCTTATAAAATTTGGCTAGTCCTAAAAGAAAATACAGCTTTCTATATAATATGATGATTGGGTCATCTTATTTTGGGGTTTTTTTTCCACATTCAATACTACTTTGAATTAGTTTCAGATGTACAACATAGTGATTAGACAATCACAAAATTTACAAATGGTCCCCCTGTTCAAGTATCTATCTGGGACCATACATAGCTATTATTGACTACATTCTCTATGCTGTATTTTATGTCCTTGTTACTATTTTTTAACTACCAATTTGCACTTCTTAACACCTTCACTTTTTTTACCCAGACCCCAAACTCCCCTCCCCCCTGGAAACCATCAGTGTGTTCTCTATACCTATGAGTCAGTTTCTATTTTATTGTTTTGTTTTGCTTTTTTTTGAGGAAGCCACCCCTTTTTAAATTTCTTTAATATATATGTTTTATTGATTATGCTATTATAGTCATCTCATTTTTTTCGCGCCTTTATTCCCCTCCACCCTACGCTGCCCCACCCACCAGTGTTCCCCACTCCTCTGTAGTTCATGTTCACTGGTTGTCCATATAAGTTCTTTGGCTTCTCGATTTCCTATACTATTCTTAACCTGCCCCTGCTTATTTTGTACCTACTATTTACGCTGCTTATTTCCTGCACTTTTCCCCCATTCTTCCCCCTCCCCTCTGTTTTACTGTTCATAGTTTTTGATTTACTCTTTTTTTAGATAAGTCCCTTTAACATTTCATACACTAAGGGCTTGGTGATGATGAACTCCTTTAACTTGACCTTATCTGGGAAGCACTTTATCTGCTTGTCCATTCTAAATGATAGCTTTGCTGGAGAGAGTAATCTTGGATGTAAGTCCTTGCTTTTCATGACTTTGAAAACTTCTTGCTAGCCCCATCTTGCTTGCAAGGTTTCTTTTGAGAAATCAGCTGATAATCTTATGGGAATTCCTTTGTAGGTAACTGTCTCCTTTTCTCTTGCTGCTTTTAAGATTCTCTCCTTATCTTGAATCTTGGGCAACTTAATTATGATGTGTCTTGGTGTGTTCCTCCTTGGGTCCAGCTTCTTTGGGACTCTGAGCTTCCTGGATCTCCTGGAAGTCTATTCCCTTCACCAGATTGGGGAAGTTCTTCATTATTTTTTCAAATAAGTTTTCAATTTCTTTTTCTTCCTCTTCTCCTTCTGGCACCCCTATGATCCGGATGTTGGAATGTTTAATGCTGTCCCAGAGGTTCCTAAGCCTCTCCCCATTTTTTTGAATTCTTGTTTCTTCATTCTGTCCTGTTTGAATGTTTATTTCTTCCTTCTGCTCCAAGTTGTTAGAGCGGCAGTTTCCTTCCCTTTACTGTTGGTTCCCTGTATATTTTTCTTTATTTCACTTTGCATAACCTTCAGTTTTTCCTCCATTTTGCTACCATACTCAACCAATTCAGTGAGTATCCAGATTACCAGTGTTTTGAACTGTGCATCTGATAGTTCTTCACTTAGTTCTATTTTTGGAGCTTTGATCTGTTCTTTCATTTGAGCCATATTTCTTTGTCTCAGTGTGCCTGTTATGCTGGAAGGGGCAGAGCCTTAGGTATTTGCCAGGGTGGAACAACCCAGGTCACTGAGTTGTGACGCCATGTGTGGGGAAGGGGCCCGAGAGAGAACAATGCCACTTGCTCAGCTCTTGGCCAGCTTTCAGTCACTTCCCCGGCTACTAACAAGCAAATTGGGCCCTTCTGGTACTAATTCCTGGGTGGGTGGATTTGTGTACATTCTAGGATGCTGTGGGTCTCTTCAATGAACGCTCCTGTGAGGCTGGGAGTTTCTCCTGCCACCACAACCCCCACAGGTTTTTACAACCAGGGGTTTTGAAGCTTTCTTTTCTGGCGCTGGAACCCAGGATTGCGACGTCTGTCTTGCTCCCCAGCTGTTCCTCTGATTTATCTGCCCGCAAATGTGGGACCACCCAGTCTGCCAGCTGCTGCCTCGCCTGCCCAGTCCTCCAGCCACAGCTTTGCCATGTGTCCTTTCTGCCCAGGCTGCCCGTCTCCACCCCTCCTACTGATCTAGATGAATGTTTCTTTAGCTCCTTGGTTGTCCAACTACTATACAGTTTGATTTTCTGGAAGTTCTAATTACTTTTTTTTTTTTAATGTGTTATTTTCCTTCTTTTGGTTGTGTAAGGAGGCAAAGTATATCTACCTACACCTGCATCTTGGCTAGAAGTCCTAAATTTTTTTATTGTTCAAATACATTTGTCTCCATTTTCCTGCCACCGGTTTTCTCAACTCCACCCACCTCCACCTCCCACCCTCAATCTTTCCCCACTTTGGTTTTGCCCATGGGTTCTTTATACATGTTCCTGAGCTATTTCTATTTTGTTTGTTCATTTATTTTGCTCTTTAGATTCCACATATAAGTGAAATCATATAGTATTTGTCTTTTTCTGACTTATTTCACTTATCATAATACCCTCTAGGTCCATTCATGCTTTGCAAGTAGTAATATTTCATCCACTTTTAAGACAGAGTATAATAATTCCATTTTATATATGTACCACCACTTTTTAATCCACTTAATGTACTGATAGGCACTTGAGTTGCTCCCATATTCTGGGTATTGTAAATAATGCTGCAATGAACATAGCGGGGTACATATATTCTCTCAAATTAGTGTTTTGGTTTTCTTCAGAAGTGGAATTGCTAGGTCATAAGGCAGTTCTGTTTTATTTTGTTTTTTGAGAAACCTCCATACTGTTTTCCACAGTGGTTGTACCAGTCTGCATTCCCACCAACAGTGTACAAGGGTTCCCTTTTCTCCATATTCTCACCAATACTTGTTGCTTATTGATTTATTGACGATAGTCATTCTGACAGGTATGAAGTGGTATCTCATTGTAGGATAGTTAGCATTTCTCTGATGATTAGTAATGTTGAGCATCTTTTCATATGTCTATTGGCCACCTGTATGTTCTCTTTGGAGAAGTGTCTATTCAGGTCCTCTGTACATTTTTTCAAAAATTGCTTGGTTTTCTGCTATTGAGTTGTATGAGCACTTCATACATTTTTAATATTAACCTATTATCAGATGTAACATTGGCAAATGTGTTCTCCCATTTGGTAGGTTGGTTTTTCCTTTTGTCAGTTATTTCCTTTGCTGTGCAAAAACTTTTTAGTTTGGTGTAGTCCCATTTGTTTATTTTGTCTGTTTCCTTTGCCTGAGGAGATATATAGGAAAAAAAATATTGCTGAGAAACATGTCAGAGATTTTACTGCCTGTGTTTTCTTCTAGGAGTTTTGTGCTTTCAAGCCTTACATTTATGTCTTTAATCCATTTTGAGTTTATTCTTGTATATGGTGTAAGAAGGTCATCTAGTTTCATTTATTTGCATGTATCTGTCCAATTTTCCTAACACCATTTGTTGAATAGACTGTCTTTACCCCATTGTATGTTCTTGACTCCTTTGTCTAATGTTAGTTTATCATGTAGGCATGGGTTTCTTTCTGGGCTCTCTATTCTGTTCTATGGAGATACAGATATATAGATACATAGATATATAATGTTTTTAACACCAGTACCATATTCGTTTCACTACTATAGCCTTGTAGTATAGATTGGTATCAAGTAGTGTAATTCCTCCAACTTTGTTCTTCTTTGTCAAGATTGCTGTTGCTATTCAGGGTTTTTTATGGTTCTCTATAATTTTTTAAAATATTTGTTCTAGATCTGTGAAATACAAGAGGGGACCCCAAAATCCCTGGTATTAATAAAAAAAAATTATGTCTTTATTATTATGTGTTTAAACTTCAGTCACCTTCAAAGTATTCTCCATTTAATGCAATACACTTATCAAGATATTTTTTCCACTGCTCAAAACAGTTTTTGAATGCATCAATTTTGATGCCTTTTAGTGCTTCTGTTGTTTTTCATTTTACATCTTCCACAGCCTTTCTCTTTCAGGACTTTTCTCATCAGGGAAATGAAAAAAAAGTCACTTGGGGCGAGATCAGGTGAATACAAATCATGGGTCACAAGAGTCATGCCATTTTTGGTCTAAAACTGTGGAACACCCAGTGTGGTATGGACAGGTGTGCTTGTAAATCACCCCTCATGAAATGGGCATATGCCTTGAAACAGTGTTCAAAAAAAATACATTGAAGCCAAATGCAGCTGCTCACAAAACCACCAGTTGGCACACTGATACAAATGAATTTCTAGAACACTAACAGAGTGGAGGAAGCCTATGCTACAAGGGGTCTGCCTTCTAGAAGATAGTTGCAGTAATGCGAAGGTACCCCCTTGTATGTCGTTGATATTTTAATAGTCATTGCATTGAACCTATAGGTTGCTTTGGGTATTATGAACATTTTAACAATGCTAATTCTTACGCATGAGCACAGTATTTGCTTCCATTTATCTGCAGCTTCTTGAATTTCTTTCTTCAATGTATTAAAATTTTCCAAATACAGGTCTTTTACCTCCTTGGTTAAATTTATTCCTAGGTATTTTTTTTATGCAACTATAAATGGGATTTTTTTTTAGTGTCCTTTTATGATAGTTCATGATTACTGTATAAAAATGCAACCAATATCTGGATATTTATTTTCTATCTGGCTACGTTACTGACTTAATTTATCATTTTTAGTACTTTCTTGGTGGAATCTTTAGGGTTCTCTATATACAGTACCGGTCATCTTCAGGTAATGACAGTTTTACTTCTTTCTTCTCTATTTGAATGCCTTTTATTTCTTCTTCTTGTCTCATTGCTGTGGCTAAGACTTC